CGGAGCACTTTTATCTCACAAGGGTCCTCCTGTAAGAATTGCCGGGTCCCTGGGCTGGAAGTCCCTTTGCGGAGGACTGGGGGAGCTTGCAAATACCAGCACAACAAATGCACACACACACACACACACACACACAGAGAGAGCGCACAGGGAATGTTTACGAGGAGGATGGAGATAATGCTCCGGACCTCTCTCTAAAGTTGCTTCGGATGCTCACTTTACTTCGGAGTAGTCTTTATTCCTACTTCGGGTTTGTAAGCGCTCTCTGTCCAGTGGGTCCACCAGTTCTGCAGCCACGGGGATCAATCCAGTTGTTAACCCACAAACTGGATTCACTTTAAATCATTAGTATCTCGCTAAATCTAAACACTTGTGCGCATCCCATTGATTCCAGGGGTCTGCTTTAGTGTAACCCATCTCTTCTAGGTTTCCTGTGGGGTTGTGATGCCGGCTGCTATACAGTAGACTGGCTGGCCCTAGGAGAGTGCTAGATTTTGGGGTGACTCTGGCGACGGTCGTCTTGCTGCCCCGGAGTTGCAAAAGTCCCAGAACTATAATTCAGAAGGAGGAAGGGAGCAACCCACAAGTGAGGCACCCGCCCAAACCTGCAAACACCCCCCCCTCCCCCCAGTTTCTCTCTAATCCGCATCTCCTCTCTGCCCAGGGAGGGGTTGGTTCAAACAGAAGCGCCTTCTGGAACCTGGAGCAGCCCAACCTGTTCTACCCAAACTCTCTTGTCCTGGACTCGTCCTGGTGGAAAGTTAAGGGTGGGGTGGGGGAGAAACAGAGATTTCAGAGTCCTGGACAGTGTTTCCTGCCACATCGATTTGAGGCTTCGAGCAGGAGAATGAGACTTTTGACCGGAGGCAAAATCGATGATGGACTTTGCTCTTTGGAGCTCCAGATTCCTTCGACCCATCCACCTCCGCTTCCCTTTGTCGTTGTTGTTGTTGTTGCTGCCTGCCTTCAAGTCGTTTCCGACTTATTGCGACCCCAAGGCGAACCTATAACGGGGTTTTTCTGGCAAGGATTGTTCAGAGGTGGTTTGCCATTGCCGCCCTCTAAGGCTGAGAGAGTGTGACTTGCCCAAGGCCACCCAGTGGCTTTCCATGGCCGAGCCAGGATTCGAACCCTGGTCCCCTAGTGTCCTAACCCAACGCTCAAACCACTACGTCACTCTGGCTCTCATCGTCTGTCTCCCTCTTCCCTTTCCATCGAAATTGTAGGTCAAATGTTCTCAATGTGTGTGAGACAGACAATGTGAGTTCCCCGTCTCATGTCCTTGAGACTGCGCAGACTCAGAATACAGTCTCGTGTTTTAAATTTTATTTTCCAAGGGAAGGAAATATCCGGACTCCAAAGGGTGGCAGAGGACTATACGTGGACTAGTGAAACCGAAGTAATGGGGCATGAAGGGTACCCCTCCTTCTAAGGATGCATCTCCACTGGAGAAATCATGCAGTTTGACACCACTTTAAATGCCGTGGCTCCATCCTACAGAATCCTGGGATTTGTAGTTTGGTGAGTCACCAGCACGTCTTGGCAGAACTTGCAGAACTACAAATCCCCTGATTCCATAGGATGGAGCTATAGCACTTAAAGTGGTGTCAGACTACTTACTTACATCAGTTCTGCAGCGCAGATGCACCTTAACGCGTGCCTGCAATTGAAAAGCAGTCCACCTTAAAAGCGATATGGTTCCCAGACATACTCAGAAGCCGGGATTAGTGTAAACGCGGACTGAGATGGAGGCTGCAAACCTAGGAATAGACAGTGGGAGTAAAAACCCCTGAGCAGAATAAATCGTATTTCCGAGCAAATATGTTTAGCATACCGAAAGAGTCCTAGGCTTACCCCTCTTTTCTTGGCAGCCCACTGGGATCATTTTCTTTTTCAAACACGGAATAGAGGCGCATTCAGAACATAGATATACCTCCAGGACTGCGCATACATATTTGGGAGGAAGCGCCTGATTTGACACACAATTATTCAGAAATAAAGATCACTGAGTGCAGTGGGACTCGTGTGTGCGGCTAAGGGTGCCTTCAAGCCGCCTTCGACTTATGGCGACCCCACGAATTTCTATAGGGCTTTCTTAGGCAAGCAATCCTCAGAGGTGGTTTTGCCAGCTCCTTCCCCTGAAATAGAGCTGACGGCACCTGGTATTCATTGGCGGTCTCCCATCCAAGTACTAACCAGGACTGACACTGCTTAGCTTCCAAGATCACACAGGATCTGGTGCCTTTAGGGTCTTTAGAGTGCCCTGATTTAACGGGATGGGAGGGACTTAGCCGGACTGCGGGGAAGCCCAACCTCCGGCCCACCCACGCGTGGATTTTGAGTTGGTGCCGCTTTCCTTTCAAGACCATGGCGTGGCTTTTTTTCGGAAGCAAAGGTCCCGCGGAGTCGGTGGCGTCCTCGCCTCGCTCTCAGGGATCATTTCTAGTAGCACGATGCCACCTATGGAAGGCACCTGGAATTATCCCTTCCCAAACGCAGCGTTGACAAAGAGGGTCTTCCCGCCTCACCTCAGTCGGAAATATCTTGGGATCTGGAAGGAGAGGCCTTGGGGGACTCCGCACGGCTTGGAAAAGTGGACTACTTAGCTTGCGTGGCTGGGGGAGTCTGGGGTGGGGATGGGTTGTAGGCCCCCTCAAAAATGACTTGTCCGAGTTTTAAGAAAGCAGCCTGCGAGATACAGTTGACACCCGCAAGGCTTTGAGTGTTCACCAAATGCACCTGAGGAAGTAGACATTAGTCTAGGAAAGCTCCTGCTGCCAACTCCTTTCTTTCAGTTTGTCTCAAAGGTGCTTGCTGCAAGATCTCTCTGCAGACTGATTCTACAGACTAACACGGCTATATCTTTGAATTCTACCGCTTTGAGTGTTGTTAGACTAGGCTTTGGCGGCTGTCACACTGGAGAAATAAAGCATTTTGACACCACTTTAACTGCCACGGCTCAGTGCTATGGAATTCTGGGATTTGTAGTTTTGAGAGCCATTTAGCCTTCCCTGTCACCAAACTCCAAGATTCCATAGTACTGTGCCGTGGCAGTTAAAGCGGTGTCAAACGGCTTTATTTCTGCAGTGCGGCAGCAGTCTCCCCCACAGTGGTTTCTCAAACAAACAACTACACATTTCCTCTAGTCTAGTTTGAATGATTCCAGGCCCCTGAAGAAGGTGAAATGAGCTGAAATAACTCTTCTCAAAGTACAGATTCAGGAGCCAGGGTGGTTCTGAAATCCAGAAGGACTCGGGTCCCTTTTAGGGGAGGGAAGGGGTCCGCCTCTTGGGGAGAGCGGCCCTGCAAAGAGAGGGAAGACCTGGCTTCAGAGCCAGACTGGCTTCTCTTGGATGGCAGGACCTTCTGTCTGTCCTGAGGGACCCCAGGAGGCCCTTCTTGTGCCATGGCCTCCTCTTGCTTTGCCTGGCCCTGGGGAAAAGACACAGCATCTGATACCGGCAGCAAGACTCTGGGCCTTTGCAGACTGCCAGAAATAGTGCACATTAAATCGAGGCCCTGCCCTGGCTCAGTGCTAGGGAATCATGGGAACTGTAATTTACTGTGGCACCAGAGCTCTCTGACAGAGAAGGCTCAATGTCTCAGAAAAAAATGCAGTTCCCATGACTCCCTAGCACTGAGCCAGGGCAGTGCCTCAATTTAATATGCACTATTTCTGGCAGTCTGCAAAGCTAGTCTCTCTTTGTCAACCTCTGGTTCTTCTCCAGTACTCAGACAAGGCCTAGGAGCTTATTGCCTTCCCTTCCCAAACAAGGAGACACTGCTTTTCGCCGGCTTCTGCATCCCAAAATACCATTCACTTGTGCAGAACCATGTTTCAAGGAAGGCAACTGGAGTGAGAGAAAGACATCAGTCAGAACCAGAAAACAAAAACCCTGCCTGCTGTCAGGACACCATAAAGCCAGCCCATCCTGATGGAGGAGCTCACTTTCTCTTTTTCCCTTATTTTATTTTTTGCTCAGCTTCGGTTTTCTCAGCTGATTATGGATCCCAGTTTTCCTCTTGACTTTCTGTTTGACTGGAGAAAAGATTTCTCACTTTAAAGAGGCCAGTTTCTGAAACTGGCCTGGCCATTCTTCCCCCCCCCCCCCCCCCCTCGCCACCAGCATTTTGAGATTAGATAGATAGGTCATGAATAATCTCGAAAGAATTGAACTTTTTGAACTGGAAAAGAAAAAACCCACAACATTCCTTATTTATTCTATTTTTGTTTGTTCCCTCCAGGAGGTCTAACTTTGTTGCTTCATTAAAAATGCCCACTCTTTTCTCTATTTCTAACTGAATAAATATTGAGCTTTCAATTGAGCCTACATGAACCTTCCCTTCCTCCTTTGCTTGGGACAGGTACTAGAAAACTTTCCATCCCTCTTCTTTTCTTCACAGTCTTGACTGCTGGAAGTTCTAGGAAGAATATATGTGCTTTATGGATACAGTAGTTCTTTGTTTGATTTTTATAGATAACATTTTTGTGCAAATTACTACTGCCTTTATATCCTACTTGTATTGTTTTGCCCCTTAGACTCATTTCCTGTTGTTTTTGTATCGTCCTTTTACTGTCTTTTCACTTCCTGCTGAGATTGATTTAGAAAAAAGCAAGTCGTTGGATAAATCCTTCACATTGTTTTTCTGATATTTTCTTGTTACCTGGTGCAAGTTCAATGGGGCTAAGAGGAGTAGTACTGAATATGTCAAGCAGAGAAATGCCCTGCCTCTGGTCATGTGCAGAAGGCCTCCTGAAGTATCACAGCCTCAGGAAATATCAAGGCAGGTGGGACTCTGAAGCAAAGTGGGTAGTAATGTATGGTTTCCAGCAAGCTTTTGAACTAACGCTTCTCTTTTTAGAATATAGGGCCTTTGCAGACTGCCAGAAATAGTGCACATTAAATTGAGGCACTGCCCTGGCTCAGTGCTAGGGAATCATGGGAACTGTAATTTATTGTGGCACCAGAGCTCTCTGACAGAGAAGGCTCAATGTCCCAGAAAAAAATACAGTTCCCATAACTCCCTAGCACTGAGCCAGGGCAGTGCCTCAATTTAATGTGCACTATTTCTGGCAGTCTGCAAAGGCCCATAGTTCTTGTTGTTGACTCATCTAGTTCCTACAGATGGTTAACAGTTGCCTTCACCGGAAAAGGAGATCTGTGGGCAAGCGGTTTTTTTCTAAAACTAAATGGGGTCGTGGCTGCTTGCCTGGAAGTCTTGCTTTTTCAACGGTTTACAGGTGCACTTCCTTCCTAAACCCATCGCCTACAAATACAGTGGGCCCTTGGTATCCACTGGTGTTTGGTTCTAGGACCTTCCCGCGGATACTAAAATCCATGGCTGCTGAAGTCCCATTAAATACAGAAGCATAGAAAAATTGCATTCCTTACATAAAATGGCAAAATCAAAAGTTGCCTTTTGGAATTTGTATTTTTAAAAATATTTCCAAGCCATGTATAGCTCAATCAGCGGATAAAGAATCCGTGGATATGGAGGGCTGACTGCACTTCGCGTTCATTTTGGCTCCGCTGTCTTTCTGTCAGGTGAGAGTTACCTTTGCAACAGAAGATAGTTCTGGCTGGTTTTTTTGGGGGGGGGTGGAGAGGGAGGGAGAAGAGAAAGCGGAGAGAAGGAGGGTTGCACTGAGAGAATGCGTTGCATTGCATACGTCCAAAGAGCGAAAGCTGGATTTAAAGCGAGGTAGAGATGGGAATACTGTAGTTGGAGAGGAAAGACGCTGCAAAGTACCATTGCGGCATGCGATGGAATTTAGTGACCAAATGAACAAAGGAAAGAATCTCGAAGAATGGGATTATCAAAAGGAAACATTTCTGGAGCCCGCGGTTCCGATCCAGGATGAAAGCGCGGTCCCGTATTTTCCCAGCTTTCTGCTGGTAAATACTATGGAAAATGTCTCACTATTGTTGAGGAGGGGATCTCGCTCCGTGTCAGCAATATCTCTGCTTTGTTACTGTTGTGTCCCTTCAAGGGGTTTTCTTGGCAAGATTTGTTCGGGGGGGGGGGGGGTCGCCATTGCCTTCCCCTGAGGCTGAGAGCATGTCACTTGCCCAAGGTCAGGTGGGGAATCAAACCCTGGTCTCCAGAGTCGAAGTCCAATGCTCAAAGAAGCGCTACACCACGCCGCCTCTGCTCCCTTTCCCCAATTTATTTTACGGTCCG